CATGACTTAAGGCTTAAAAAGATTTTCTTGAAAATTCATTTTAAATTATCTTTAAAAAATACAATTTTTAAAAAATAAAAACCCATGACATTTTTAAAAAGATTACACTTGTGAAAAATGATTCTTAAAATCATTTCTGAAATGAGATTTATATATTCTAATCATTTTTTAAGTAAAAGATTTTATGAGAATATCTATCTATCTCATAACATATGTGATTCGAAAATCACCTTCATATACTTAAAGAACATTGCCTTGAGAAACTGATATAATCTCAGAAGTGATTTAGTAGAATAAAACTCAAAATACATAGAAAAATATGTTTTTGATATTGTATGTGATTGGTCATATGTTTGTGTTATATTATAGTATGAATTACACTAATATTGGAGTCACGATATCATTTTGAATGTTAAAGGTATAAAAAAAATAGATTTCAGATTATCAGGGAAAATAACATGCTATCAAGGAAAACAATGTTCAGTGAGAAAATTATTTTAGGAGTTCACTAATATTTTAAGGTCAATTTGATGATTTATTTAGATTGTAAAGTTTAAAAAAAAAATCAAACATTATGTCTATTTTTATGACATATACAATAGCTAAAAGCTCTTTTACATAGAAACAAAGCATTTTACTTTTTTTGTAAGGTTTCCTAGCTTATATATGTTATAGGTTGCGTATATTGTACAAGGACAACACTAACCTTCATTAATAAGCATCTATTTAAAAAAAAAAGATTTTGGTATCGGTCAGCAAAGTTAGAACAAGTTTGTAACTAAACATGCTTTTTAAAAAAGTCTAAAGGGCAACTTTGGTATTTGAACTTCATTAAGACTCATTTTAGTTAATAAGTTTTTTTAATGGTTGCTTAACATCCAAATCCTTTGATTAATCGTGTGGAATAACTTGTTAGGCGAAGAAACCCCCTAAAGTTAAGACTTATTGTTGGTTTTGGTCAATTGTGTACTACTTCTCTGTTTTAAGATGTATTAAAACTCACAATGTTAAGCTGATGGACAAACTATTCCATCAAATGACTTTTAAAAATATATTTGTTTTTTATTTGTCCATAAAGTCTGTTCAACCTTATAATGATAAATAATCATATAACTCATCAACAACTAAATTTCTCTAAGTTAATATATCATGAAAAAAAATATGAAAAAAATGATTAATTAAGACTTTAAAAAGTGGAAGGAGCTTTTGGGAGGCAAAATATATATTATAAATAATTTGTAATGACCATGATAAGAATGAAAAAGTAATTTTGTTGTAGTTCATATGATATATTATGATTTGGTGATATTTGTACCATAAATTAATTTTAGAGAATACTGTTCTATCGTAGAGTTCATCTAATAAGTGTATTATAACAATAATAGAGAAATAAACATAATTAATAATATGCTTTGAGGCTTAGCAATTAATGTATATTCTCCAAGTGGTTATTATTTTTTATGATAACTATAAGAGAAGTAAAAGAGCGAACATTAGGTTAGATAAAACTTGAAGTTAATAGTTCCTAAATAATTTTTTTTTATACAACTGAGTGTTTATTAGGTTTAGTGTTCACTCATTATGCATTTAGTAGTAAGAG